GTTTAGGGGTTTAGGGTTTACGGCCCATACACCTCCGGAAAACATCTGCAGCTGTCCAGAAGACAGCAAGATTCCAAGATGAACTCGAGACTCTAGCCCTGCTTCTCAGGTGCCACGGTAGGCCTGAGGTGCCAACCTGAAAGAGAGACATAACAAACACAAGACCCAATCCTTGACCCAATCCGAGTCGAAGCCCTGGCCTCTAAATCGGCATACCCCAACCCTCAATCTGATCTCGGGCCTTGCGAGTAAGCCGGAGCCATCAAATCCGCACACCTTTTGTTGTAAATTCGTCAGCCCGAAGCCAAGCCATCAAGTTGAAGGTGCTTCTGTGAGGAGAAAGTTTCATTCCTCGTCCTTCAAGAACGCCCAATACCGGTAGCTGAGTGTTGTCAAAGGGATGGCAGGGGGCCTTGTTTACTAGTTTTCTTGTGGGGAATTCAAATCCCAACTACAGAGAAAGCCACTAGACCTCCGCATGGGCTTGGGTCCTGTGAACGATCCATCTCCATCGTTCCCAATCCGAGGAGCCACTGGCAGAGAGCTTTCAGTGCCACTGGGCTTGCCAGAAGGACTCCAATCTAGTTCATGTGGAGGTGGAGTCTCTGGTAACTAATTTGAACAAGCCCACTGGCATCCGGTTCGGATGTTTGTCCTGGTTGCGTATGTCACGTACGCATGCTTAAGTTCTTTGTCGACCCGTCTATCTGCCCATGCATTAGATCCTCATGGCTTCCAAGTAACGCCGTGCATCAGAGCAGCTTTCGACCTGAATGCCTAATGAGCATCTAAACCCTAAGCCCTATAACCAACCTGAGGGCTAGAAACGGATACCAGGACACTGTCGTAGCACCGTAGCACTGTCTCGGGTATTCCAAAGTGCACCGCAGCTTTGAACAAGGGCGCGGAGGTGGGAGAGGTCTGAAGTAAGGCAATCAGTGAAGGCCAGGAGCAAACCACGGCTTCCTCCACCTAAACTTCTTGATCGAATATACGAAAGCTACAAGCATCTACAAGCTGTATGTAGGTTTGAGCAGCAGAAGCCAACAGTAGTAGCCAGAAGAAGAAGAAGACTTTGCTAATGCTGGTTCCGAAATGAGAACTAGTTCCGTAATCCTAGTGTGTCTGCAAGAAGGCACGAACAAACCGGAAATGCCTCAGGCGCCCCAAGGTGGACTTTTGCTCAGGTCGTAGACCCATAAAGGCCCCTGCCTAGAGAGCCCAATACCCCTTAACTAAGGAATATACCTTTTCCTTGTAGGCGCCTTAATATGATGGTTTAAGGTATACTCCTGAATTAAGGGGTATTGGGCTCTGAAAGTGTCTTGTGGAAGTGAACCACCGGGTCACCGGGTTTCAAAGATCTTAGGCCGAGTGTTGCGCCTCAGTGCCCTGCTGGAACCCCTGCGAAACAAGCGGGGTGGCAAAGCGACGGTGGACCTGTTGAAGGCTGGAAGCAGGGCAGCAGCAGCCTCACCTTAACTCGCTTCGAGCTCCACCCTAATTGCCCTTGACTCGTTCATCCTGGTTTAGGGTTTAGGGGTTTAGGGTTTTAAGGTTTTAGGGTTCGTTCATCCTGATTCTGTGGTGTTGAGTCGTAGCCGTGAAGCCGTTGGCCGGCTTCAGGCTCGAAGACTCTGGGGCTCATCCTTCAGAACTGGGTCCTTGTTGGCTACAATTTTACATTTTTGTTATAGTAAAACGCAATAAGGATCAAAAATGATCCTTTTTAATATAGCCCCAACAGGGAACAAGAGAACAGGAGCAGCATCATAGTCTGTTCCCCTCATGCCCCCTCGCAGAGAAGTAGACTTCCCAGCCGCTCTGGAGGTGGATGTGGAGGGAGATGAGGACGGCAAGCCGCTGCAGTAGAAACTGTTCGTCTGGTGGTTTGGTGAAGCATTCATAGACTCTTAGTTCTCCAATACCCAACCTTTAAACTTTTTGGGTTCTTCTAATTTCGTAGTAGTCTTTTATTGTCGTGTCTTATTGGGGAAGTAAGGACTTTGCATTCTGAGGGTCTAGGAGACAATGAAGGTCGGGATGAGGGTTCCCCCAAGCCACTGGGATGCAACGAGATGAAGGTGACCTTTGTTGTGTCTTTTGTGTTACCGCTCTTTCTCTCTCCATCCCTCACTCTCCAGCGCTCTGTCTCTCTCTCTCTCTCTCTCCCTCTTTGTCTTTGTCTTTCTGTCTGTCTCTCTTCCTCTCTCTCTCTCGCACTCTCTCTCTCTCTCACTCTCTCTGTTTATCTCTCCTCTCTCTCTCTCTCTCTGGCTTTGTTTGGTTGTTTTGCTTGACGAAGCAACTCATCGTCAGAGTCCTGCGAGGAGGCCGTACTCCTTGGATTGGCGGAGGAGGATTGGCCGCGGATCCGCCAGGTCAGTCGGCTCCTTTGTGGGGTTAGGTAGGAACTTTCAGTTGGTAGTATCTTTTTAGGGTTTTAGGGTTTAGGGCTTAGGATGCAGTACTTACTATGAATGCTTATCACCGTTGTTTCCATAGTGCAATATAATCTCATGCAACTGGGTATGCATGCCTCTTCTTCTTAAATTCCGGGATCTCGCGGTTCTGGGTCTGTTTGAGACTATTCTGGGGTTCAAGTCATTTTCGTTTTCGGGCGGATGGGCCATATCATTCGCAGAGAAAGGATTTTGGCATGTTTCCCTAGGGCTCCAGTTGCCGCAATATTGGGGGGGGGAGGGGGGGTACTCACCATATATTCTGTACCCCGGTAACCGTAAGGGTCCATGTGCCCAAATACTAAACACGTCGGGCCCAAAGTACCTATGTAGGGACTACTTTCAGGCCAAAGTATACACTATTTGGGCACATGGGCCCTTAGGACCCTAAACCCTAAACCCTAAACCCCTAAACCCTTAAACCCTAAACCCTAAACCCTATGCTACTGTTCAGGTAATTGGAGCACTACCCTAGATCCTAAACCCTAAACCCTAAACCCTAAACCCTACTGTTTAGGTAATTGGAGCACTACCCTAAATTATACACCCTAAACCCTGAACCCTAGGGTTTCACGACCACCACTCCACGGGGCAGCGCTGTTTCTTAGCACACCACCGGCAGTCGGTAAACCAGAACCTCAGGGTTTAGGGTTTAGAAACATATACAACAGAACCCGTAGAAACCCCGGACAATTCCTTGAAACTCGTCTCAGACACGACAAAACCCTCATGCAGTCTCAAGATACACTTTGTTCGTCCTTTTGGTGCCATAGATCGCTCGAAAGAGCACTGACTTCGGAGGGTTTTAGGGGGGTCTGTAAGGGTTTGGGGGTTTAGGTGCTAGGGATCATTGGGGTTACCAGAAGCTTGTTATGGCTCAGCCATGTACACACGACCTTGGACAGGTTGTCATGGAGGTTCACGATCTCGATGGGCGCACCCTGGCTGAGCTTGGTTTCTACATTGGCAGGGTCTTAAACGGAGTCGTTGCGGGGTTCCGAGTGAACGCTACAAGTAAGAGTATAGCTGAGTATAGACAGTCTGCGAGCACGGGTGATCCTGGAATCCGGGTTTGTTGAGAATCCGTAGATGAGTAGACTTGGATATGTGCTGTCTCCTTGGGAAGGTTGGGACCCAGCAACGACTCTGTTCCCTGACCGAACCATATATCAGTACTGTACCTGGCATGTAACAGACCTCAGCCCAACTTTCAGCCCCAAATCTCACCCTAAACCCTAAACCCCAAACCCTAAACGCCAAAGCCATGTCCAGGATTGGACAGGATCCTGACACTCTTGCGACTTCGGATGCAGATGTCTTGCGCGATAACTTGTCCGGTCACCTGCAGAAGCTCCCAATCTCTGAACTACGGCGCCGTAGGGTTTAGGGTTTAGGGAGTTTAGGGAGTTTAGGGAGTGCTGAGATTTCCACCTGCCCATAGGCCCCATAGTAGTTCTTTTTTGGGGTTCATATTTAGAATCCTTTAAGGTAATCCCAAAAAGGAACTACTATGGGGCCTATGGGTGAACCTTGCCCACCCGAAACAAAAAGTTCCTGGCAGCGTCTTTCGGAAGAATCCTGACGCGCACTTTGTCACGGGAGTTAGGGATCGGTTTTGCAGGATCCCCTGTCTTCAGGAGCCTTCCATTTTTGCTTTACTGTATGGTGCCGACTAAACTTACATACTGTAGGGGCTTAAATGATTACCTACGTTATTGTTGGGGGGGGTTCTTATTATAAATATAGTATAATGGGCCCCGAAACCCTATTCTAATTATTAAGGCCCCTACATTAAAGGCATCTGTTCACTTCAGAGGCTTCTGAGATCTGGCTCTGAGGCGAACAGCTGGCTTCTCGGAGATAGACTCTTGCTCTGCAGCGAGACCGAGCGTTTCCTATGCTTCGGGGTCGTCCGGGGTCTGGTCATCTTCACTTGTTTGGGTTCTTGACGCAGAAATGAAGGGCAGGCGACTGCTCATCTAAAGGGATCTATCCCTGGCCCGCGTTTACATGACCTTAGTGGGACACTCAGTCTCACCAGTCCCGGAATCGGAAGACACAAGCTGCGAAGTGGTGCTTAGCTGCCGCTGAAGCCAGGAATCGCGTCAAACACAACGACGACCACTCAACCCTATAGGCTACCCTGGGGACGGTCTTCGGACATGAATGTAATCTGAAACCCTACAGGCATTCCCAAGTCTTTGAACTCTGTAAACCCTACACTTTACGATGCTACGCTTAAAGCCGAAACCTTGAATGACCACCCCAGGCCCCAAACAGTCCCCAAAGCTGTAAAGACCGTTAAAGCCCGGCAAACCTTCGCAGCACGAGGTGGTTGAGGCACAGAGACCACGGCTTCTGGCAGGTCTCTCGACACTTTGTAGAATTTTTAGGGTTCAGGGCTTTCGGGATTGGGGTTTCGGTTTAGGGATGTAGGGTTCAGGGTTTAGCGGTTTACGACTTGGGTCTGGAGTGCTTTAGGTTTAGGGTGGAGGATCTAGGGGGCGGCTGGGGTTTGCTTTCAGAACCAGGGCCCGGGCTTGTAGAGGACATGATCGAAACCCTTCTTACAAGCACGCGCCATCAGAGAAGAAGGCTTGCGTTCATACTTGTGTAATACCTGAATTATTGACCAAGTTCTCTCTTAACCTTACCAGCACCGACCGGCTTCCCTGTGCTTGAGTTGTCTGGATTCGTTCAAAACGATGAATCGATGAGGATACGGACTGTCTTGTGCAAATACTATATCATGTAATACCACATCGTACTATGTTATATACTACTGTATTTTGCTATTTGTACTATGTTCCCAAATCCTAGAATATGTAATGATCCTTCGAAACTCAGGGTACTTCTCCTTCGTCCCGGAGACTCTGTGCCTGTTCCACGTGCGTGCGGCACGTAGGGGGCCTGGCGGGCCAGAAGGAGGCCAGCTCAACCCGTGTAACTATCTTTGGAATCTTTGTATAATCATCTATCTTACATGCTACAGAGCCATGCATATCCCACAACAACCTACCTAGTTGCTACCATCACATCATCGATTCAGAGACAACCCAGAATGTACAATCGATCCCAGAAACCCTAAACCCTAAACCTTAAACCCTAAACCCTAAACCTTAAACCCTAAACCCTAAACCCTAAACTCGACCCTGAGCAGACAGGCGGAGCCAAGCGGTCGCCGACCTCGGCTGAAAGCGCGGCAGCCGACCTGCCGGAGAGCAAGCGGCCAAAAGAAGACCCCAAGGGCCCCAAGGGGCTAATATAGGGGCCTCAATAATTACATACATTATTGTTGGGGGTTCCTTACTATAACTATAGTATAGTGGGCCCCAAAACCCTATTCTAATTATTAAGGCCCCTACATTAGGGGGAGGCTTTAAGTTGCGTTGGGAATCAGCATTTAGGCTTCGTTTCCTTGCTCCTTGTTGCGGTAATTACCCGCCTAGAAGAAGTTTAGATAGCCACCTGAAGAGGGACTGACATTCGGCATCTGGCCGGGCATGTTGCGCTCCGAACCGACAAGTTCGCTCGAAATGGGGTCTGACTCCGACAACTACTGACCACTTCACCCACCCCCCAGCCTCAGCACTTTGAGTTCATGTAGGATGCCTTAGTGGCTTAGGGTTCCGTGCCTGAACGTCTTATTCGGAGTCTTCAATCCTTAGCGCCATGGGTTTGAAGATATCATCCTGTCTCCTTCCTTGGTTGTTGTCGCGGTCGGAATAATTCGCAGTAGTATCTCCTTAGGTTCCATCTATAACTCTACGTACTGTAATGTACCCTACAACCCTTGGTCTGGTTTTAAAGCCCCCCTAAACCCTAAACCCTAAACCCTAAACCAACCATTTGCTGAGGCTGCACCTCCCGTTGGCGAACCACTTCGCCAGGCTCCTCCTGGGGTGAACTCGGAATCTCCAGAAGCACCGGCAAAACCCTTAAAAAACGAAGAAAAAGGCCCTTGAAACAAAGAAAAGCTTAAACCCTAAACCTCAAACTCCTGGGTCTTCCTGATGTGGTGGATGGCTCTGCAGACGGAAAAAGGAGTTCAAAAACAAACACAAACTTCAAACTCCTGTTCTACAGAGACAAAGCCCCATTGCACCCGAATACACCTTGCATAAACCCTAAACCCTAAACACGAACCCTAAACCGTCTTAACTGTGGGGCTTGGGGCCCAGCTCCCAGCTTTCAATCCTAAATGCTGCAAAGGGTTCGGGGTTTAGGGTTTACAGGGGGTTCAGGGTTTATCGGATTGATCATGTCTTGGGACTTCGTCAGGATTTTCTGTGATATAAGGCTGAAACAAATTGAAGACAAGCAAGGAAAGTTCTTCCTTGGCTCAAGAAACTGCTCACACCGAATCCTGCCCAAGCCATTTAAGCCGCTGCAGTCCCTATGGTAGTTAGT